TATTTCTCTCAATTAAAGTATTCCTTATTTTCAGGCAGACTCCTAATTCAGGCTTGAAACGATTCAAAGGGGTTTAGCTGTTTCGCCTTAGCACAAATACTTGCAAAAAAAAAAAGAAATAAAATAAAATAAAATAACATTAAAAGAAGGTATATAAAAAAAAGAAATGCGCGCGGCTCACTCCCTCAACCTTTGTGAGCACAGGCTTTCTCCCTCTCATCCTTTGTGCGAATAGTCTCTCCCACTCTCAAGCTTCGTGAGCACAGACTCTCTCTCTCTCTGCTGCCCTGTCACTCTTCGTCTCTCTCTCTCATTCGGCTGCGCTGTCACTCTCTCTCTCTCTCTCTCATTGACGTCCGTTGTCACTCTCCCCCGCTCTTTCATTTTGCGTGCAATTTCTTACCCCTTACCTTTGTCTGAACAGCAGCAGGAAATGAAAACGAGTGGTTTCCGCGGGTAGCGGGGATACTTGATTGCCCGCTCAGCAAACTGGACGGTCACATTGTCAGTGGGATTGCTTGATTGTAGTCTTGATCAGCTATTCATCACAAGTGGCCGAACCCACCAACAGTAGGATCGATCGATTATCTGATAATTAGAGATTCACCAGTCACCAATCCGGCCCTGTCAGCGCTGGGGAAAACGGTTGGCTGACCAGCGAATGTAGTAAAATAATCCGTCCCGACAGCAGCGGGAAACTTGATTGGCTGATCAGCGAATGTGGTAAGGTAACTGGTTCCAATGCCAACGGGAAACTTTAACTGATCCCGATGGCAGCGGGGCAATTCTCCCCATACTCTCTYATATGTGTGAGCTGTTACATTAGACCAATCAACTACGATCGGTCGTGTATCTGCACAGCCCTAACGGCCAGATCAAAACTCGAAGTTCCAGTGTTCCGAACCAGAAGCTTCAGCAAATCAGCCCTCGATTTTCTCCATGTGTGCAGGTAGCTGAAACGGGCAGTAGCTCTAGCGGGCAGATTAATGCCCAATATTCAGAATGGGCTCAAGTAGTGGTGGCAGTGGGCAGATCAGCCCCTCTTCTCTCCATGTGAACGGGATGATGGAATGGCTGATCACCGCTTGATTTCCCCCATGTATGCGGATAGCTCTAGCGGGCAGTAGTAGTGGCAGCGGGCAGATCAGCCCTCAGTTCTCTCTTCGTCAACAGTCCACAGGATGATAAAACGGGCTAATCAGCGGGCAGATTAATGTCCAATATTCAGAAAGTGCTCAAGTAGTAGGAACAACGGGCAGATCAGCCCTCAGTTCTCTCCATGTCAACGGGATGATGGAATGGCTAATCACCGCTTGATTTCCCCCATGTATGCGAATAGCTCTAGCGGGCAGATTAATGCCCAATATTCAGAATGGGCTCAAGTAGTAGTGGCAGGGGCAGATCAGCCCCTCAGTTCTCTCCATGTGAACGGGATGATGGAATGGCTAATCACTGCTTGATTTCCCCCATGTATGCGGATAGCTCTAGCGGGCAGTAGTATTGGCAGCGGGCAGATCAGCCCTCAGTTCTCTCTACGTCAACAGTCCAGAGGATGATAGAACGGGCTGATCAGCGGGCAGATAAATGTCCAATATTCAGAATGTGCTCAAGTAGTAGGAACAACGGGCAGATCAGCCCTCAGCTCTCTCCATACCACCCTTCAAATTCTCAAGTCCACTCACTCTACTCTCACCCATGCGCTCTCCCGTTCAACAAATCTGATATGGTAGGAGCCAGGTGAGTGCAATAAAATAAATAAATAAATAAATAATAATAACAATAATAAAAACGAACAAAAGGACCCTCTCTCACACACTCACTCTGCACAGTCCCTCACCTCGACTCTCTCTAATTGGCTCTCTCCCATTTACTCCAACAGTCACGTTCTCCTCTTTCGTTCTCATTCCCGCTCGTGGACTATTCCTCACTCTCTCATCAGTTGATACAGATGCTACCCGACCAGCAAGCTAATTCACTGGCTCGAATTCAAATGCACTTGGACGCGGACAGATCCAGATGCGTGCGCGCGCTATCCAAAAAAAAAAAAAAAAAAACAGAAAAAAAAACAATAGAGCAAACTGTTCTCTCTTATCTCTCTCTCACGCACGTATGCAGTTGCGATCTCCAGTCAACACCGGAGGCCGCTACGCACGCCCTTGCACATTCGACCCAGCCTCTCCATACATCTGACTCGTCCCCATCATCTTTCTCGGCAATCCCGTTCAGAAGTCAACTGACCGGACAGGGATAATGGACACCTGGCGCGCTCTCCCTGAAGCGCCCTGACCCCGTCGAGCGCCTGCTTGATCCTCCCTGATCACTCCCTGAGAACCTGTGCTCCCGTTTCCAGACTGCACATCCCCCTTCTCTCTCACTCTCCCTCTCACACGCGAGTAACCGCCTGAGCGCCGACGCGTCTTCCCCGTGCTTGCACTCGCGGGTACGCCTTGTTCGTGTCCGGCTCTCCCCTCTCTCTAGGCGTAACCGCCTGGGCGCCGATGTCTCCGCCTCGAGCTCGTCTCCCACTCTGCAACTGCTTGACGCCGGGCACACCTGGCATGCAATCCCATTCCCTTCACTGTTCTCCCCTATATCTCCTTCAGTCCCATGGTTTGACCGACCAGGGCCTTCTCGGAGTGCAAGTGTGCAGGAAGTAGTCCGCCGCGCCACGGAGGAAAAAAAAAACAGTGGTACCGGTCTCACAGGCTCGGCGTTCACAGTACCCAGGCACCAGCTTCAGCCCACTGGCGTAGACAGCTCCGACGAGTTTCGCAATGGTTCCGAGCCGAGATAGTCCCCTACATCCCCTCCCTTGCCACGGGCTTTAGCGGGTCAGTGATATCTGAGTGACTAAGCACTTAGGCCCGTAGTGGCCACGGCGTCGGGGCAGGGGCCCCCATGCGGATCCACCTGTACTGCCAGTTCCCGCACGGTACCTTGCGAAACCGCGTGGCCCTTCAGACCCTGCAGTACCAGTAATATTCGGGTAGCAGAAGTAGTCCCTTGAGCCAGGCAAGCTGAGCCCAATCCCACCAAAAAAAATCAAACAGCTCTGCAGCCAACCCCCCCTTAGTCTGCATATGTCTAAAGGTTAACACTTCTATCTGCCGCTGACCACACTACCCGTATACCGGCAGTTTGACGGTACCAAGTCCCATAGAACCGGAGCAAATGTGGCAATCTCCTACCGATCGCTGGATCAGCGCGCGTAAGTGTCCCAGGCTAGTACACACACGAAAATAGTGGTACCCCGTTGCGGTGTCCCATGGAACAAGTTGCGGCGTCACCATACCAATTCCGAACCTTGAACTAGCCAACTAGAACTTRTCTCGACGTTATATCTYWGCAATCMSTACCTGTCAATGTCAAACCCGGATCACTCAGTCAGGCTCGCTGTAATTCTTACCATACCGAAGCCGAACCTGATATAACCATCCGGGGTTCCCGTGCCTCGCGCCTTGTCGATACCGATCCAGTACCAAGTTTGAAAATGATGYTGTGGCGTGTACCACGCYAATGCCGAACCAATACCGTACCTGAAACATGTCGAAGACGGCAAGATGCAGCGGCGCGGTAATAGTACCGAACTTGAAGTAAACCGTCGCAATGATCCCGGACCTGAAAATAAATCCCCGCAGAGGTTTCGAAATAAACTGCCGTGAGGGCGTCGAACYTGAAACGAAACACCGCGATGCCACCGAACCTGACCAAACCCGAAATCCAGTACTGGGCTGTTGTGCCATGCGGATGCCGAACCCGTACAATCATGCCATGATAACCTGTCCCGAACCTGATATAGAATGCCGCAACGTTTCCGGACTTGAAAACAAACTGCCGCCAAGGTTCCAAACCTGAAATAACTGTCGTAGTGGCCCCGATCCTAAGAATAAATCACCGCAACTGTCCCAAACCTGAAAATAAGTCACCGTAGTGAGACAACTGTCACCGGGCCCATACCGTACCTGAAGCACGTCAGACACCGTAGGACGTAGCCACTCCGTAACAACCCTCGTATCCGTACCGAACCAAACACCATAGTCGACCCAAGGCAGCACCACCCCATGCTGTCCATGCGACTCCTGCTCTCAGAACATCTCAACTGCGGTAATGTTAGTAATCAAGCACACCAGGGAAAGCGTCGCAGGGAACCTCGACCATCGGCAGTAGTGTTAACTTGTTAAAATCCGGGGAAAATGATCAATTCGGAGTCAGAGCTGATGGCGGGTAATGGAGGCGAAATTAGGGTCAATCTCCCAATAGTCATGGGTTCCCGTCCCATTCATCGTTTTTCATCATTCTTCCCTTTCCTTAATTCTATYGTCGGAAATAGTAAATTAACTGTAAGTTCGCCAAAATTAAATTCCGAGAAAGTTTAAATAAATGGCCAAATTCCTTTTGTTTCTTTTCTCTTTTACCATTTTTAATCTTTTTCTATGTTTTTAATTTCATTGCCGGGAACATAAAATAACAAGGGTATTCCCTCTTGAATTAAATGCCGTAAAAAATAAAGAAATTAAGGGATATTGTGTTTTTCCCTTCTCCCCTACTGGTCGTAATCCCTTTTCCCCATCTTTAATTATGGTACTAAAATAGACAAAAATCTGAGGCCTCATTTCGGCCCCGGTCGTATGCCGCAAAAAACGTTGCTGCGAGGTCAGTTCCCGCGATGCCTCTCCGCGGCAGGCCAATCTGGGTCTAACCCTCTGAACGGCCGGAAATGACGGTCCGTTGATGTGCCGAGTGCGACCACCCATCTCGCCATCTTTGACTGACAACGTGACGGATGATGTGAATGATGATGCGAATGATGTGGATGATGATGCGAATGGCGATGTCTATGACAATATGGATGATGATGTGGCTGATGGATGACGTGGATGGTGATGGGGATGATGATGGACTGACAATGTCGAGGATGACGTGGGGGGGACACAGAGGAGACTGAAGGAGGGTAATTGTGGGCCACGATTCGGCTAATGATGTGGCTGATGATGTTGCAGGGATATGCGGGATATTTGAGAGGAGACTGAAGGAGGCGAACCCTTCTGTGCGTAACATAACGTACGATATCAATGATCTGTACAAGTTCATCGACAGCTTGGCAGATCTGAGTGCCCTTGTGTAAGTGGTCCAGGTTCATTGTCATCTGTCTACCTGGCTCGACTTCGCCTTTTCCCACTCCAGGCATATGGATCTCAACCTCTTGTTGTCGCCAGTATTTTCAGACACAGTAAACAAAGTTATTATTATTGTTATTAGCATGTAGGGTAAACGATACAGAGAAGATTAGCATGGCCCCTGCGCAAGGATGACGACACGCATAGATCGAGAAATGGTCCAAATTAAAAAAAAAAAAAAAAAAAGAAGAAGAAAGAACCGCTTTCCAGCAACAGCCAAAGCTGGATAATGGCCCCAGTATTTCCGTGTTGAATTGTGAGGTCCCTGGTCTCTAGTTCTCTCTATGTATTTGAAATATGAAGTTCAATATTTCCCCCCCACAATCCCCCATGCSCCCCCCCCCCCAACCCCCCCCCCAAAAAAAAAAAAAAAAAAAAAAAAAGGAAAAAGAAGAAAAAAGAACCCTTACTGGGCTCAGATACTGGCACTGTGAACTACCAAAAACGATTTATCTCTAGGCTTTTTACAGGGTCTGGGGTCAAATCCCAGTGCCAGCACTTCAGAGCATTAAAGGACTGAAACACAAATGAAATTGTGGGCCAGCGCAGGCTGGTTGAAACATTCCCTCGCCCTCTTTTAAAAAAACACCAGTACCTTGGGCCGCCTTTTCTTTCCGAGCCTCGTAATGCCCTGCGCGCCAAGCCCTGCCGGGGCTCCTACCCCAGAACGATGCCCTGCCGATCCGCCCTGACCCCCGGAAGATGCGGCGTGTTAACCGATTTGTCGGCCTGCGAAAAATTAGCAGGGCGAGGCACTGGGCGTTTAATATAATCCGTTGTATGCTTCTCTTCGTTCTCGTGGAGCTGCCTCTCGTACGTCGCAACTATACGCGGAGTCGTCTGGAGAAGTGTGGTGGTTCTGCCGATCTATCTTCTATAAACATTGGATTTGACGTCGTACAGTTTGCTGGGTCTTACCCTTCTTCCATCTGGTGCACCTTGCGATGTCCGGCAATCTTCTCGCCCTCACCATAGGATGCTCCATGCTGCTTCTGCCGTGGACCTTGGTCAGGGTGTGCGTCATCGACTTTGTTGCGTGGAATATGTGAGGTATGTTTTTGGATGTGGGGGGAACATCGGTGCGGTAATGTGGCCTATCCAAGGGATCGCACGCGGTAGCCATTGGCTGGCTGAAACATTATTCTGATTGCAGATCATCTCGTGTACCCCTGGTACACGACGTACCTTAGCTATCCTTGGTGATTATGCGCTCTTCCGCTCCTGCCTTTTTGTCTTCAGCAAAAGTGCAATCCTCTTTTTCACCCTTTGCTACCTTTGTGGGGTTGCATAATATGCTTGCGACGGTCTTATTCTTGCTCTATACGAACCTTGTGCGGCTCACCAGCTGGGTCCCCTTGCCCGCCAAGTGGATTCCCGACTCTCAGATCTGCTCATGTATCGTTGCCCTAACTTCCTATGGACGAAACTGCTTTAGTCGCAGCTTTCTTGATAATCCCTCTTCCAGGAAGAAATTGACTGGAGTCGCCCATATCAGATCCCATCCCCCCCCCCCCCCCCCCCCCCCCCCCCCCCCCCACCAATCAAATGGACAAGGCCTTCGAGGCCGTTCGTTGCTTGCTGGACTCGTTCCCCATAGCTTCCTCCGCCGTCTGCGTAGTTTCGATAGCCTGCCTGGACTTAGTCTGCAGACTGCTCTGTGAACTCCATTGCCCTTGCAAGACACTTGGGTCACAGATCTGGAACCGGGACGTTCACTGGCTCACGCGGCTCCTGACCATACCGCAGCTCAAATGAGCGTCCACGTTGTCGCAGGATGGACTGAGCTGTTGAATGTACTTGTCATGTTGGCCAAGTGCGGATCCCAATCGTTTCTGGTCGGGGCTGATTTTCTGGTTCCCGATCTGCGGCCTAAGTGCTGAGCCCAATCGATCTGGTAGCGGCTGAATCGATACCTCAGCACCTGCAGCGCTGTTTTTTTTTGGCTCATGCGTTCTATCTACCCGTCGCTTTCTGGATGGTTGGCTGAACTCATGTCCCGCCGCTCAGGGCCTACGCACTCCAACAGGTTCTGCCCACGCTTGCCGGCAAAGCAGGATTTCCGATCAGCGAGTCTAGTCTGTGAAGAGGTCGGCGACTTTGCTTTGCTTGAAGTTGCATGTCCTCTCATAGGAACCAGCACGGCACACTTTCTACACCGGCACGGCACACTTTCTAAACCAGCACGACACACTTTCTAAACCAGTCCCAGTTTGTGGCGAGGAAGTATGAATCATTCTTACTTTTCGTCTCAGCCAGGCATCATAGACACTCCATGGAGGAGGTAGATTCAGTGCCATCTGTTTGTACGTGATGTACGCGGACATCGTGTAATACGCCGCCGTACTAGACACTCTTTTTTTTTTTTTTTTTTTTTTTGTTTGTTTGGGTACGCGTCCGCACATGCGTACGCAAATGCTTGTTTTTCTTGTTGTTCTTTTTCGTTTTTGATTTTTTTTAATCTCAAAGTCGGTTGCGAATTTCGCTTTTTGTCTGAGGGGGAAGTTGTTGTGAATAATGTCTCTTCAATCACATATGTTTGTTTTGAGTCGGTGAAACTCCGACAAAACAGTTTGTCACAGCCCCTCGTTTGTTGTCCTCTTCTCTTCTCCCTCCCTCTCTGCCTACGGTTTACCGTCACCAGCTCTGCTTGACGGTATATATTTGTTTTCAGAATTTTTTATGTTTTTTTTTTTTTTGTTCACAAGAGTGGTGCCGAGTACAACCCCTGGTACGACGGCGTACACAATGCGCGTACACAAACTCAATTTGCAGTAGAAGATCGAGTCTGGTCTGCCTTGAAAAAGGTAGCAAGTAGCTAAAAGCAAAACCAAATTTAGCGAATAGCATGAACAAGCGAAATTCCTCGACAAAGGGGTATTTTCTTCAGCATCAAAGACAAAATCTGGCTATATGCGGGAACCTCCGACCAAGTGACGCAAGCAAAATAATGATAATGAATGCGTCGGTGCGGACAATCAGCAGGGAAGTCGTGTGTTGATACATGCGCTGCATGCCTCAACGACTACACGCCAGACATCCCTGCTTGAGATTATGATATAGTCTGAGCTTCGTGGCGACACGAAGGAGGAAGGCCTCGGTTGAAATGATGCGAAAGATACCATGGGATCGATTGGCCATGTCTGTTTGTAATTCGAAGGGCATACAGTCTTTTGATTCTTTCCTTTGGTCCTTTGGCAGACTGCGCAGGTCGTGGGTGCTCCCTCTAAACGCCGTTCCTCGTTGTTGCGCGGTAGATGCATTCCACCAGCAACTCCATGCCATGTGCATGTTCTTTAAGCCAAAGCGATCCTTAGCATCCTGATACATTCTCCAATGACTTCAGTGATGAGCTCATGCCCGTATGGCCCCACGCAACCTCTGTGCATTGGTGCTTTGTTAAGAGTAATCCTTGGTGCATAATATATCCTGGAGTCGTGGCTGTAGACAGGGTGTGCTGCATGTGCCGGCACAATCCTATCAACGAGTTCATCGCTCACCGTCATCTGAGATAAGCTGGCCTTCAGAAAATGACGACCGACATCTTGGACGGTGCATCCACCATCCTATTGTACCAGCCCATCATATGCTTCGGCTCGAAGTCGTAGGTGTAAATGACGACTGACCGACCATCTTGCAAGCTTGTCAGAGAGCTTGGGCTGCACCTTCAAATTGACTGGAGTTACGATGGACTACAAAAGTGGCATAATATAGGTGATTGAAGAGAGCTCTAATGCCCCCTCTAATGCCCCCTCCAATGCCCCCTCTAATGCCTTCTCTAATGCCTTCTCTAATGCCTTCTCTAATGCCTGCTCTTAAATGGACACCATCAACTTCTCCCCCATGCCAGTACTCTCCTATAATGCCTGCTCTCTTCTCCCCACCATAGCAATAAATACCTTAAAACTTCCTCTCCCAGTGCATTGTCCTCCATTCTCCTCTTCGCCAGCTCTGCCCTCCGCTCTTCAGTCCTTGACGAAGGACAAGAAACAAAGGGAGGGGGGCGTTGTGACAGATTGTTTGATTGGAGTTCTTGACTCGTCAGAAGGCTGAATCCCTCTTTCTGTTCCATGGGGGCTTTGCTGGGTTATGAAGGGGTGTGAGCCTTCGGTCTGTAGAGCCTTCTGTCTGGTGTGGGTGGGTGATAGTCTGCTTCCATTGTTGCCGCAGAATGTAGCCGCGAGGGCCGTGGTTGATCCTCAGCTCAGGCTATCAGTTGTCAGGCAGTGTCCAAATCCATCTGGGGTTAAGGCGGATCACCATTTTGCCGAGTATCATTGGTCAGGAGACTCTGCATACTGCACGGGATCACCGTTCTGACGAGTCGGTCAAACTCCTGAGTCCCAACTAAACAGTCTGTCACTTTCCCCCTTTCGGTTTTCATTTTCTCCCTTTCTGCTTTCTATTCAATGTGCTGTTCTCGTTTTTTTTTTTTTTTTTTTTTTTTTTTTTTTTTTTTTTTTTTTTTTTTTTTTTTTTTTTTTTTTTTTTTAACTCAGCTGGTTCTGTTAGGAGGGATGGTGAAAAATTTCCCCATCCCTTTGACGATATGTGTTTTTTACGAGTCGCTGAAACTCTGACGAAACAGTCCGTCACAGCCCCTCGTTGTTGTTCTTCTCCTTCGCTGTCTACGGTTCGCCGGGAAATATTCCATGATGAGATATGTGTTGGTCTCCACATTCTCCGCTGCCCACTTTATACAGCGTTGGACTTTCTTGGAATCGCCCCTTGGCTTCATGCTGATCCTCGCTGTCCACAGGCAGAGGATGACAAGAATAACTACCATACTCGTTGCCCACCTTAGTCCAGGGAAGGCGGCCGGGAGGCAGAGCATGGTAGTTATTCTTGTCCTTCGCTGCCCACCTTAGTTCAGGGAAGGAGGCTTTACGATCGCGGTCAGGGATCGCCAACTTGAAATAAGCAATGCTCAGCCAGGTGGGTGGTTTC